ACACTGAATCTATTCCCAAGCCAAACTTGTTCAGGAAACTTACCTGACTCCTTGGCATCGTCCACATATACTGAATTCTCTGATTTCTCTCTCTATATTTGTACAAGGCGGATAATGACATTCATAATACACACAACTATCATCTACAAGAGAAAAATACAAATGGCAAATCAAAATGATAAAGAAATGGAGAAAAATCTTGAAAACCAGTAAATTTTCTTTTCTTTCTTTTTGCTTATAAAAAAACAAAAAACCAAAAAAAAAACCAAAAAAAAACCCTGATTATGGAAGACAAACCACAAGTCTTAAAAATCACTTCAACATTGAATATTACAAATGGATTAACTTGTAAGGATTTGAATTTAAATCAAGTTAATTAAAAGGATAATTCTGTAATAAATCTATAGTATAAAAGAAGAGCTGATTCTCTCTCCATCGCATGTTGTCTTCACGTGTGTGTATGTAATGTTTATGCGTGCCTGTGTTGTACGCAAGTGACTAACAGGTGCTTTGCCAATTAACGTATACACATGTGTATAAACAAATAATCTGAGTAAGTTTTAATAATAAATTCCCCTCCCACTCAGTATGGAGACAACCCCTACTCTAGGCTGAACAATGCAATATTAATGTTGAAGGAAAAAAAAGATAAGATTTTATTGAAATTTTTCTGAAATTAATCAGTAATAAATAGAATTATTTTTTAAAGCTTTTGTTTTGTTTTTTTTTAAATTTCATAGAAATATTTTTTTAAGCCTGTCATTGAATTAAAATATTAAACATGGCATATGTCAAGTGTACACACAGTTTTGAATGAAATTAAAACGTGTCTTCAGTGTTAATGTCCTTGCCTGGCAACAACCCCTGAGTAACAGGAAAAGAGTATAAGCTGAAATGTGAATCTCTTTAAAGTCAGTTTATGACTCCTGTATTTAAATTGTTCAAGTCTAGGGTTAACTGTTATCTTCCTAACAAACTGTGCCTGTTATTCTGTAACCCTCTACCCGCTTTTTTTGGAACCAACTCCCAAGAGGATGCTTCTCTAATCACTACACAGGTCTTGTGTAGGGGTAAACCTTACTGTAAAAAATAATTTTTTTCCTTTTTTATACTTACTTTGAATAAGAGAATGGAAAAAAACACATAGGAATATGTATGATTTTCGAGTTAGAACAAGTGAAAGAGTAGATGGCACCAAATTTAATGAAAAAATGAAAGCAACAGTTCTTTAGAGAGAAAAAAAAAAAACAACCAAAAACCTCATGAAAATGATCCATAAATAAAATAATGAAACAGAAAAATTAATTTCTAATTGTTGGTTTGGTTTATTTTACAGCATATCAACACATAAATGGGTTATTTAATGCTGACAAGATTTTTAGGATAGGTTTGTATGAATAGAATATGTATTCTTTGTAAGAATTGACATTAACCATTTGTAGATCAGGTTAAATTGACGTATTTTTGTAAAGAGTGTTTTTGTTGAATATCAAATGTATTGCTGGTATTTTTGCTATAAAAACGTATTTTACACTTTCATAGTGTTTTTACCCCAGTTTGGGGGTTAACTATTTTCCCATAGCTGGAACCCTAACAGGTGCTACCACCCCGGGGCAAGGTGGACCTGGGAACACCAGCAATTAAGAGGTGGTTCCATGCTCCTCAAAACCTAACCAGAAGTCTTGCTGCCAGATGTAGTTTTATCGTCAGACCCAGGACAATTCTAATATTTGATGTGCAGAGCAACTCAATATGCAAATGTTGTCTCTTTTTCTACTACGCAAATAGTAGGTAGGTTCGCTTGTTTCATATTGCTCCTGAACAGGACGAGAGGTTTATCTCTTGTTTCCTATTTATAATTGGCTTTCTGATTCCTTCTAAAGTGTTTCTCATTCTCCTTTCCTTTAGTAGCATTGTCCCCATTGCTTGGTCTGAATTGATTGGTTGGTTGGGGGGATTTATTCTGAAGAACAAACTCCTCAAAATATTAGAAACCAATTAGGTTGTAATTAAACTAATAAGTGAAAATTATTCTTGACATTTCTGAAAGCATTTATTTTTCAACTTTGACCAATTCTTTTAGTGAACTGGAATTGTTATAAAATAGTAAACTCATTATCTGTTTAAAGCTCAGGCAGGCATTGATTGTTGTTCAAAAGAAGAGAAATATGTGAGGAGATTGTCCAGCATCTATTGCCATATAGGACAACTGATATTACCTAAAAGTGGAGTACTCTTTGCTTTTAAATGAAATTTTCTTGTTTTTTAATACTTTGGTTAAATTTCTTTTCCTCTCTGATTAGTAAATGAAAGGAAACAAGTTTGAACAAAAAGAGATGAGGGGGAAAAAAAACAAAAAAACCAGAGAAAAGAAGAGGAGACAGAAAAAAAGAATTTTTAATATTTTATGCATAGATTCTCATGTTGTGAGCCAATGCATGAGTATTCCATCAATATATTACCAATGTGTCCTTTCATGAGACTAGAAGATTCATCCAGT